TACGAGATAGCTCCCAAACTTTTGGGGAAGTACGATACCAGACGAAATTATTAGGTTTTACTCGAAAAGTAATGAATTTTTCAACTGCATTTTAGTTTATACGCTTTATATTTTTAAGTTAGATTTCTCTTCCTTTTTGCCTGTTTCTCTTTTAATTTGCTGGTAAGAACCGTGACGAAACGAGTGAAAAAGTAGAGAATTCTTTTGTAGCTCTGTCTTCGAGAGGTATTCAGTAGTGCATTCGACGTCTGATGTAATTTTAACCTGTTTGACTGTCACACAGTTCTTTATTTGCTTGGATATGTTTCTATTTTTTCCCTTAAAGAAATATTATAGAGGGGAAGCTTAAAAATAATTATGATGACCTTCCAAGCAGCTGTTAGTAGCTTTTCATGGAATAACATTCTAATTTCAGTTGGGGCTGACTGATGTTAAAAAAATCAATATAAGAAATGTAACCCGTCCATCCTCTAAAAGAGGATGAATTAATATTTTCTCAACAAACCAGGGAACAAAATTATATATCATAAATTAAACTTCATCAAATTTTAAGTAACGCAAGAGTTGAAAGCAGGGCATTCATTTGCTGAGTATTTCGCTTTTATTCTTTTGTAAGTTTAATGCAGCTTTTGATTTCACGTACTGACTAATTCTTTTAGAAATTATTTGCTTTATTACGGGAGTAGAAAGTGAGCTAATTTGGGAAATAGTTATGAATAAATTTTGAAAAGGTTATAAATAAAAATTATAAATAATAAGATGGAAAGAGGATATGACAAATTGCGGAGAAACTAGTTTTTGGGTGCAAAGTATCTAATTTCTTACTACTTACAAAAATTTTAAGATACCACGGACTCTTGAAGAAAAGGATCTACGGCACATGTTTGATTCATTTGGAAAAATTTACGAGTTTACCATCTTGAAGGACAAATACACTGGGATGCATAAAGGATGCGCGTTCCTGACCTACTGTCACCGAGACAGTGCGCTTCGATGTCAAGCCGAGCTTCATGACCGAAAAATATTACCTGGTGTATGCTTTTCGTATTGCTGACAGACCCAACAAAAAAAATGCCTTTTTTAGAGCATTGCACATTATCCAGTTCTGAAGCCTCTTCGTGTATCACAAAAAAAACGGCTTAGTTTATTCTGTCATTTGAACTGAATGAATATTCTGGCTTGTTTTTTTTTTTTTTGATAGCGGTAACACTAGAAGTGGATCTGCACATACTACGGTCTTCAAAAAAGTTAACAATAAAATAATGTTATTGTTTTTTAGGTCATTAAAAAAATTTTTGATCCAGTGACCGTGAGTTAGGTAAAGTACCTGAAAACGTTTAGTTTATCTTGTTGAAGATATAAGGCAGAATTTTTTTTCTGGTTTGATTAGACTCAAAATTCTTTGAATAACTCCTTTTCTGCGAAAAGGAAGTACTGTAGACTACTGTTGCGTGGAAAAAAGCTGGAAAACTACCGTCGTTCTATCTGGTTACAGCAGATTGCTACTGTTAGCAGTGCGGCAGCGGAAAGGGCAAGGTTATAGCCGGGTTAATTAAAGCTCGAGAAACTGTGACTTTTAAAAGTGGTTATGCAAAGATGAGTAACCCAGATGGCCTCTTTAAATGCTTGTCTCGGTTAAGTCAGCTGCTTTTTTTCGGAAAGCACTTTTTCTTTGACATTCTTAATAAATTAAAACTAAAACTTGGATTTGAAGTTAAGACACCGTTAGTTCTCGTCTTTCGGAAGCCACGAGGTGCAGTTATACTTTCAACCAATTTAGCTTTTTTGCTCTTTTATACTTCAAAATTTCCATCTTTCCACTGCAGAAAAAGTTGCTGTTTATGGGTTTCTGAATTCTTAGAAGTAGATTTTTATGGGAATTTTAATTTAGAGCAAATTTGAATACCACTTGAAAATTAATGCGTTTTATGAACGATTGCGGGCGCAAATTGGCATTACATGTCTTTATAGGTTTATTCTATTAATTTCTCTGTCGTTGCAGCGGTAAGTAACTGTAATTCACCAAGGGACAGTCATTTCAAAAAAAAAAACTTGGATGAGCTCATCTTAAGCAATAGAAGTGTTTATGGTTCTGAATGAGCTTCCCTTTACTGCAAAAAAATCATTCAAACTTCGCCTACTAAAAGTCCTATTTTTGTGAATTTTACAGTTGTTGAACACGAGGATTTTTTGACCTATTCCTCACTGTTTGTTCTTCTGTTTCATTTGAAAAAAAAAAAAGACTGCTCATTGTAAAGACCTGGGGCAGTGCAGAGCGGACAGATAATAGAAGGAGCTATTAAGAAGGATATTGAGTACGCCTTTTACATGACCATATTTGCCGCATCATGAGGGCTTTTGTGGGAGTCCTTAGATTACTAGATCTTCAGATGCGAAGTGATGCATAAGAAAACTATGGATCCGCAGTTCAGTTTTACCTTATCTTTACCCTTATATTTGTTTCTCCTTACCACATCACGGCCATGAATAAAAAAAAAAACGACAATTTTTCTAGTTGTTGGAAAGAAACGTTTCCAGGAGAACAAGCGCGCTGATTACAATTTGTAATTTGGAGTGCTTTAAGAGTTTTGCCATAAGAAAGTGCAGTTGCGTTTTTGATTTTCAAAAACAGACGGAATTTCCACACGGAAACGTTCTTATTAGAAAACTTCAGTAAGCAAAGCCTCTAGGTCCTCTAGTTCTGTAAGCGTCTAAGGCGTTCTGTAGATATTTGGCAAAGTTGTTGATGCACACAGTTTCATCCGGGTTTTTCTTCCCTGCAGGTTCACTTTCTTCCCAGCACTTCAGTAATACCGCTCATTGAACTGCATCTGAAAGACCGCTTTTAGTGCCTGTAAGGAAAATAAAAAATATCTGCTTTTTTAAAAGTATTCTTGTATGACTCAAACATGAGCATGTTCGTTTAGATTTTAACCGCTTTGGTTTGCAGATGAATCGTGCGATGCAGGTAAAACCCGCAGACAGCGAGAGTCGTCCATGCTCACCGAAGAACGGCGAAGAAAGAAAGCTATTTGTCGGAATGCTTTCTAAGCAGCAAACTGAAGAAGACGTGCGTGCATTATTTGCTCCATATGGAGTTATTGATGAGGTAATGGCTCAACAATTCTAGAATGTTCTTTGTAACAATGTTCTAGAATTTGAAGAAGAGCCGACGCATCTTTTAGAAAATTTAAATTGTAACTTTGATTGACCAAAATTTTTGGTAATTTGCGAAAATATTGGTAAAGTTGCCGAATGAAAATCTCAATATAACTTTAATTGAAAATTTGTTGTAATGGTTTGGTCTAAATTAGGAAACTTTTCTTTACCACATTTTTAAAAAATATGGGATAGGTCTTTTATTAAGCCCGAATCCCCATCCTCTTTGCTTTCTATTCTACATAATAACTAAAGTTTGAAATCGTCATCGTTAGGTTACGGTGCTTCGCGGTGCCGACGGAAGCTCGAAGGGCTGCGCTTTTGTGAAATATGGGACGCATGCTCAAGCCGTCTTAGCAATAAGTGCGCTTCACGGTAGTCAAACCATGGCTGGTGCATCATCGTCACTCGTCGTTAAATTTGCCGATACTGAAAAGGAACGACAACTCCGGCGAATGCAGCAGATGGCCGCACAGCTAGGTTTATTGAACCCGTTGCTGCTGAACCAATCAACGCCCTACAGCGCAACGTATCAGCAGGTCCTAAGCCCTTCATCGTTAAATCAGACTGGAGCGTATACATCCGCTCCATATCAGCAGGTCACTTTTAATTATTGAACAGCTAATAAAGCAGTTTCTTGTTTTTATTAAAAAGCGGGAACTAGCTTTTAAAGCATATAATGATAATGGAACTGCAAAATTTGAACAGTTAACGTAGACATAAAAATTAATCTTTTTATTACACTGCTTTTTTGAACTTCTGTTTACAATGGTTAATTATAGCAGAACTGTGGAAATTTTATTGAGAATTGTCGTGGCTCAATAATGGAAAATTTTATGCATCTGTTTCCCATATAGAAGACTATGCACCCAAAAGTTTTTCAGTTACTACAGCAACAAGTCGCTTTAGCAGCAGCACAATCTTCTGCTACAACTTACCTTCCCGTTACTCTTACGTCACATCCTTCAACGGTAATCGCTTACCGTTTAATTATAATATATCATGTGCATAAACGACTGCCTGTGGTTGTTTGACTGAATTCACAGTTTTACTTAGAAGAGTTTCGTGTAATGCAGCGTAGAACAAATGTGGCTACTAGCGGCGGCAAAGCTTTTAAATAAAATTAAGAAATTTGTAAGCTGAGTTTGAAAGTTTTTGAAATGCTTGGTGGCCTTGAAAGGACGAAGTCACCTAGCTGTCATTCACATCGGCCTGTAACTCCTTAATTTTTAAATTGGAGAAAATGTCTGCGTTGAATTGAGAATAAGTGTTTATTGCATCATCTTTCACAGTTTTTGTTTCCTGCAGATTATGGAAAGGGCCTGTTGTCAAAAATGTCTGATCACATTTTAAAGTTTTTTTAGCTTGAATGGCTTTTGGCAGAGGTTACTGTGGTGAGAACCCTGTTTATTGTCTCGTTTCTAGCAATTAATAAAAGTTCGTATAACTAAGAAGAAATTATTTTGAAAAGTAAAACCTGATTGTATGATAAGGTTCAACGGTTTAACTATTTGCAATCTTTTATTCAAATGAGAAGGCCATTATTGTGCCAGAAGTTGAACATTTGGACTTTCTTTCAAAACCACAGCTACTGCTTTCATGGGCTACAAATTGCTGTTAGTTAAATGTTGAACCAGAGCTCTAGATGACTGACTTCCTACTGCTTTTGTTGTCAAAGATTGTTTTTACAAAAAGAACTCTAGTCAAATGAAATTTTACTACTTTGTTGTTAAAGATTATTTATGCAATAACAAGACAGCTTTGAAAAAATTGTTATCACAGAAAAAACCGTCTTTCAAAATTTTTCAGCTTTCGAATTTGGCAGGAACAGGTCAACCTACGTCATTACTTCCACAGACATCTTTACAAGCTCTATCGGCTTTATCATTACCAAATTCTTCACCATCTCTTCAGACGCTATCTGTTTTAACTCAGGCCTATAATCCGTCAGATTATACTATGTCTCAATATTCTCGTAAGTCATAGATCTCAGCAATAAAAATTTTTTAAAGAACTGTTGTTATCTTTTACCTCATGATTCAAATTCTTCGTCGCTTTCCGGAAGAGAACTTCTTAAGAAGGAGTTGATTTTAGGTAGAGTCTTACTATATTTGGAATTTTTTCAGTTTTAGTAGGTCTCTAAAAAGTAACTTTTGAAAAAAACAAAGTACTTTTTAGAAACCTACTGGATATGAAACTCTTATTATCAGTCAAAAAGCACCTAGTGAAGAGCGCTGGAAAACGTAAAATATTTGTTAATGGTTGATGTTTAACTCTCTTTCATTGTTTGATTTCACGAAAAGTAATAATTTTAGCTTCTAGTACGACAACAGCGACAGCGGATAGCACTGCGTACTCCATACCGTCGGTTTATAATCAGATGGTAAATTTTGACCCGCAAACCAGTTCAGCTGCTACAAATCGACTGCTTTGTGAGTGTTGCCGCTGTTACTTTTAATTTTTCTATTATTTTGAGTAACTCTGGGTATCTCAAAATTAACTGACTCTGTCAAGGAATGAATGAAAGGCTCCGAATCTTATTTGTTTGAAGTTTAAGCAAGTTTTGATATGACTAAGTTGTAATAACTGAAACACTGGGCGTTATTTTTTTTCTTAGGAGAACTACACCTTGGGAGTAACGGTTCTAATGTGTCATCATTTTGGAGGATACTTCTCTTTGTCAAAGGTCAAACGCATAAGCAATTTTAGGTCCGTATACTCAAGCGCTGCAGCATGCCTTGGCATTACAGCAAGCTACAGCTCTACTCCCGAACACATCACAAAAGGAAGGTTACAAATCTAATCACTTTCATGTTACGTAATGAAAGAAATTCAGATAATGATTAGGGATTTTTGGAGCTAAACTGTAAGTGCAGTGAATTTAAGCACATTTTTATGGTAACGGAGGAGAAGTAAACGGCTTTCAGTTTTTTGCGAATTTTTTCTGGACAAAGCGTAAGTTTTTTTCCATTATTAGCTTTTAAGTTAAAGAATTGGATCCAAAAAGGAAGTATATGGAAGGAGAAACGCTCCGCAGAGGATGTCTCGATTTTAATTAAACTTGCAATTTCAGATTAATTCTGCAATATATTACAGTCATTGATAAAATTAATTTTTTTTTTTTTTTTTTGAAGAAGGGTTTCTGATACTGAAAATTTATAGGAGAAAAATAATGAGACGAAAAGGAGATTAAAAATGCAAAGATTTTTTTTTCTTATTTTCGTTAGGTTTTTTTTATAATGTAGATAAGTAAAGTTTATGGGTCTTTCAGTGATAGGAGGGACTGTGACTTGAGATGAATTTTGAAAGATTTTTGAAAGGAACAACGTTTTTTAACCAGCTAATATGATGATGACTTTAATGATATAAATATTCAGGTGTTTTTCAGCACCTTATAGCAACTTGAATTTTCAGTAAACTACACATTTGATTTACAAGAAAAGCCAACTAGACAAGAATTCGAAAAACTGGATTTCTCAACAGCTAGATCTACAAAGCTATACTTTTTTTCCACTTAACATACTTTTTCCCAAGTCACTGTTGTACGATCATTTTTCAGTACTCGGTCCAGATGGATGCAACTTGTTCATATACCACTTACCGCAAGAATTTGGAGACGCCGAACTTATGCAGATGTTTATTCCATTTGGTCACGTTATAAGTGCAAAGGTTTTCATTGATCGAGCCACCAATCAAAGCAAATGTTTCGGTAACGAAAATGATTAAAAAGTTTAACATAGTCATTAATATTCTTTTTTGAGATCAAATGTTTTTGCTTGCGAGTACAAGCCTTTAATTTTATTTATTCATAAAATTGTGCATTGATGGTTGTTACTAATTTTATTCTGTTCATCAGTTGGATTCTTGGGAGCTGATTTCTTTACAGCAGTAAGATTGCAATTTTCGACGGTTTTTTTAAGTTACCATAATCAAAGTTCGATCACATCAAGTGTTCAGATGATACTCAAATTCTCAAAATCAAAATAAGAAGTGTTATTGGGAAAAAAGTTTGCTAGAAAATGTTATACTCGGATTTTTTTTCTTTCAAGAAGCAGTTCTATGTGAAGATAGATGAAAGGATTCAAATAAATATTTGTATCGGTCTGTTTCAAAAAGCTTTTTTCATTATTTTTGTTAAAGACTGTTACTTAAGAGAGATATTCCAGGTTTCGTTTCGTACGATAATACAGCGTCGGCAATGGCAGCCATTCAAGCAATGAACGGATTCCAGATTGGCATGAAACGATTAAAGGTCCAACTGAAACGGCCGCGGGATAAACCGTATTGAACTGAGCACACATAGTGTTTGTCTGGATGGCATCATTTGTTGATCAAAATATGTTGCCTGAGCAATTTATGGGCAACAGGGGCTTTTGCATGATCTTTGTTCAGTTACCCTTTGAAAGAAAGAGAAAAAAATTACAAAGTAATCATTAGTAGTTTCTTTTTGCGGCAAAAATTAGTGGAAAATGTAATGGTATTGGTTGTTACGCTGAACATTTCGTTCACAACTTTGACTCTTCATCTAGTTTTTATATTTGGTGATAAAAACTTTGAAAAGCCTTCTCTTTTAATAGGTTTATCATTGAACTTTCAAGTTCGAATTAGTAATGAAGAAATGATTTGATTAAAATGATGTTACGGTGACTGAAACTACGGAACCAACCCAAACTTCTGGCGTTTGCAGCCGATAGCAGGTGACACTCGGGCAGCATGTTTAGATCAGATGTGCATGATTTTGGAGTTGTGAAAAATTTTTATTTAATTATTTTGGCGTTCGTATAACTGCTGCTTCTGATGTACTGTTTTGTTTTCGAATTTGGCTAGTGAAACCAAAAATTATTTTGCTTAGCGTTTAAATCATTGGTGTAGCGTGGTTTTGTACAATTATTACCGCACGTTTGTTTTGATTTCAACTTTTTTCTCTCCATTGTTGTGTGCCCAAAGACTCTTGTCTCCTTCCGGGTCCGTATTTTAAAATTTGCCCGGGACTGCCCAGGTAAACAGACAGCATTAATAGGGCTTTTGTCCTTTGTTTTTCACAATTTTTGAGATTTTTTTCGGCACTGATAGGCATTTTCGAGCAGGAGGGTTGTAGGCATTTGAAGTCCCGCTTTACCAAAACTTTCAAAGCACTTCCGACTTTAAACCAGCTGTTTCGCTGCTCCAGTCGTTTGTTGTTGAATTCTGATTATTCTAGAAGACCTAAAGCTTTTTAAAAAGATAAACAGCGAAATGATGTTTACTGCCAGCATGTGCTAAGTTTACTGTACCAGTTTAACAGTTGTTCATCGGATGCAGTCTTTTGTTTCTGTTTTTTTACCGCTTCCCTTCAGCCAAAATGTTTCGTCCGCACGGTTGTCAGTAAGCATGCAGTTCTCAGAAATTTCAAAATGCTTTATTTCAGATCCCTTCAACCAGAGTCCTCCGGGTTAGGCTCTGGCCATCGTTAACAATTGCGGAAAACGTTCGTTTTAGGCAACCTAAGCAACCGCATCCAAGTTGTTTTTGACATGAACAAGCAATGTTTTTAAATCAGGAGCATCCTAACACTCTATTCATTTCATCCTGACTTAACTGAAAAATTCTCTCTCTTGCGACTTCAAAGGAACAAGTTTATGAGAAACTGCTGATTTTTTTCATTCGAGAAATCCACCACTTTTTGCTTCCTGCTCACCGTTTGGTCTTGTACTGCGAGTAATCAGAAGCTTATGATAAAAATACAAATCTTTATCATTATTTCTTTCAGAAAACAGCTTATTTTTATATTAAAAAAAGAAGAAAATGTCTTTTTACCTTGAAATGGAGCTTGTTAAACCAATTTATCCCATTTAAAAATTTACTTAAAACGTTTGTTGTTTCCAAGACTATCGTTTTGCTAATTTCAAATGTTTTGCATTAATAACAGCAACAAGTGCCGCATTTTTTGTATAATAATTTTTCATTTATACACCTCCCTTTGTTCTTGAAGAAACAAGGACTACTCGACCTTAATTTTTCGCTGTATAAGCAAAAGAGTCTCAGAACAGGACCTATTTCCTTCCTCAGTAAGTAGAAATTTTTGTGCCTGTTTCTTTCAAAGAAATGAGGACATTATTTGCTCCCAATATTTATTTACATTTTCACTAAACTGCCGAAATACTTTAACGATCAGTCTCAAGTAAAAATGTACTTTTTGAGTGGGAAGAAAATCGGTTTCTCAGGTCATGGAAAAGACTAATAATGGAACGCTGCTGGCCTTTGTGCACACCACCTTTCAAACTGACCTGAGCTGAATTGACCAGAAGATTTCATAAGGGGTAGTACAGTTTTGCTTATTGTCCGTTTCCACCTTTACCTTCTCCACTAAAATTTTCTTTAGACTAAACCAACGCCAGCACTCACAAGGGCGTTCAATCTTAACTACTATATATACATATATATGGGTCATTCCACGTCCAATCGCACACTTT